TCTTTTAGCTACAAGCGCTTGGGAAAACGGCTGGAAGTCCTTTCAGAGAGGAGCTGTACCATGAAACCATCTACTGTTCTATTTCTTACAGAAGCGGACTTTGACACACGTTTTCCAAGCAATTCTCAGTGACTGCGTCCGGGACTGCTTTCGATGGCTTTCACCACAGCTGACACTGAGCTGGTGAGCAGATTGGATGTAGGAATTGTCGGGGTTGAACTGAGCGGGAAAATCAGACTGACAAGCTAGAAAGCCTATGGTCTCAGGAGGTAGTTGGACTCTCCAAAACCCAAACATTCCCAAGTACCTTCTCATAAGGCAAGTGAAGCCCTACACCAATGACGCTGTTGTTTGCACAAACTAGCTTGGACCGTTGGGATGTTTTTGCCTCACTTGCTGGTTGCTTTCAGCACTTGAAAAAGGGGTGTGTTCTTTGAAAAGGTGGACCCATTCTGAATATGACAGTTCGTAGTTGTCCACTGTTTTCATTGTGGGACATGGGTCAGCAAGTAGCAATATAAACGCTTTGGAATCACACCAAACCTTGGACTCCAGAGGTGCAAGATTTTCCTACTTTGTCTCGCGAGCGGCGAACTCGGACTAGCCACATCCCTTGGTGGGTGGCAATCCCAAAAGTCTGTAGTTGTGATATTTAATGAGCACCTGAACACCAAAGCACCAAAGACACTTGTGACTGGACCACAGAAGAAGACTCAATGAATTGTGACCCATGCCGGCAAACATTGTGGTGTTCTTTGGCCGATAGAGAACAAACCTTCTGCCTCCGTCCCTATATCAAGGCTTCAGAACTATAGACTATAGTCAGAACCCGTCCAATCCTCGCTCGATGGCAGGTAGAGGCACCAAGTGACGGTGTGGGCGCCCAATGGTTTTGGCTCAACGTCAGATGAACATCGGTAGAAGTTGATAGTGTTGGGCTACTAAGTGCTTCATATGCCTGCTTTCATGATTTGTTTTGCATAGAATCCAGAGGCCAACACAAAAATCAGTAGTCCAAATCTTCTTATAGGGATTCCTCCATTACGCATCAACATCAGAAGTTCACCATATCATTAACAACAGATCCTGGCTTCTAAACTTTAGCCCTCCTCTCATCAGACACACAGCCCTCCTCTCATAGAGGACGGGGCGCTTTCTTGCGACGCCCTGATTTGTTCACACTTGGGAGGGCAAACTCGATGTCCCTTGATCCCCAATGACACTTGTAATTTTGCTTCCCAATAGTTGACATGCAGCCACATTGGATGGGGCTAGCGGCAGATCTCGAATCTAAACGTAGTGTGGGGCCATGGGGCCATGCACCCACCTGTGAACACACACTCGATGAGTATGACTTGGTCATGTCCTTCCTTTGACATGTTTTTTTGCACCACGTCACGAACCCCTTCTAAGGCCCCCCGGCCAAGCGCCCGAAGCTCACGGGGTCGGAGACCGCTCCGCTCCCCACGACTTCTTCTCCGCCGGCGGAGAAGCTCACGGTGGAGGCGCTGGGTTTTGGAGGGGGGCAGTAAGTCATTTGATTTGACATTCAGAGATCAAACAACATGTGATGGATTCGAACTTTTGTTGATGCGTTTTCAGACGCTGTAGTGATCCCTTGATGAATTGGTGAGGGACAACTCCCCTGGTTGACTTTGGAAGACGCAGGATTTGGGTGATCCTGCTCTCCCTTGACCATCCAAAAACTTGGTTCATCTTGTTTCCACATCACAACCAGAGGCTTCTGTTGTACCTCTCTGCCTGTTGCGATTCTCGAAACATACATATCCTCCAGCCGCATCAGACCCGGTAATTCCTACTCGATGCTATTGGAGGATGACTGATTGGGCATGATTGGGCTATCCATGGCTATCCTGAATCATTCACCCCCAACAAGAACCAACAGGAAGATGATCCACCGGAATCCCGGGATCCACAGGAAGGACGTGCGACGACCGACATCGACCTTGCGACCTCTTTCGGGGGGGTAAGTTAAGGTCCACCGTTTTTCCCACAGCACAAGGGGGAAGGTTGCAGTCTGGCCTCTGTACATGCTTGCAGCACACAGACCGCACCAGGTGCTTACGGAAGATCCGCCTGAGGCTGCCTGGTTCGGCATATAGAGCGTGAACTGTATTTGTGCAGGCTTTGGTGAACTGTATTTGTTCAGATGTTCGGGTCAGAGAGACTGTGCCAATCTTTGTTTTCACGCCCCTTCCAGTTCAGGAGGACGAGAATCCGGAGGCCTTGTTCTTCGTGGACACTGGCCCGACCGGCGCGTAGGACTTCCTGGAGAACATGATTCCACCCGGTGGCTTCCTCAAGCTTTCCAGACCCTGGGCGATGCTGCAGACGTCGACGCCCATGCCTGCCAGTCTGCCGATCAAGATGGAGCTTTGCGGTCCGGTTTCGCGGCGACAGAAGGAGTAGAGGCCAAGTGCCGCATCAAAGTATGCAGAAGAAAAGGATGTGCCGATCATGGGTCAGGTCCTTCGTTTGTGTGTAAATCGTGATTCTGTGACATGATTTCAAGACATGAGGGACACTTGGCAGACCATGAGACCAATCACCCGTTTGCCATGAAAAGTCTTCCGCTGTGCGCGGTTGTGACCCCTTTCTGACATTCCAATTGTTTGCAACACAGGGATTGGAAGAAACATGCACTATGGTGACTATGGTGCAATTATGTGCAATTGCTGATTCTGTTGGCATTTCGCAGGCAAGCCAGGAGTGACCAACAAGATGTGAACCTCAAGCCTACATGATATGAAACTTTCAGTATTTGTGGCACATTCACAGCATACAGACGGCATGCACTCATGCAAGTCCGCCCTGCCCACTGCAACTCTACTTCACAAAAGGCTATACCTATACTCCTTCCTCAACCAATCAACTCACTAAACCCCACTCAACTCCTTTACATTCCTCTACACTCAAGTAGATTCACCAAACCAGCCAAGCTACCCTTCCCAACTTCCACCAAAACGGTCACCCACCGCCATCGCCCATGGGCTGCCCCCGTCGGGGCCGCGCCGCCGCGCTGCGTTCCGACGTCTCAGAGGCGCGACGCCGGCGGCCCCAGGACCTGGGAGCAGCGGTCGAGGGCAGTCCCAGATTCCGGAAACTCATGGAGTGGGGGGGGCTCATTTCTCATCTTTTCTCCATCTACTTTTCTGGGGGGGGAGGGCTTATATAGTCTCAATCTCGGATGGGATGAACCCAAATCCGGGCTTTTGGGTACCACTCCTAGCTAATGAAAGGTCCGCGAGGTCGAAGGATCCCATGGACCTGAAAGACTGGGACGTCCATGGCGAGCGAAACAGACTGGGAGGACGAGGTGCGAACACCATCTTTAGTTTGTTTTTTTGGTGTTTTATTTCACTAGGCGACCGGCTAGTACCGTATGGCTGCTTGAAGCGTTAAAAAACAAGTGTGTTTTTTTTCACAGACACATGGTCTTTTCCCAACTGACATGATTGAAGGGTCCAGGCTGTGGTGTGGGATATCCCCCCTAATTATAGGCGGCAGCGGGGTTGAAGCGGCTTTTGGCGGGCGGGGGTAAACTGGTAGACATGGTTGTTTTTTGGTAAAGCGTTCCACCAGTTGATGCCCTTCCTTCTTCACAGGATAAACCATGATAAACCTATCAAGGCATTGATGGCTGGAAAATGCTCCTTCCACCTCAAGGACGTGTCCTCCTGTTTCATGAGATCTTTCCAGAGGCGCCATAGAAGTAGAAGAACTGCGGTAAGCAGGAGACTCTTTACATGCTGCTAAGACGTCGGAGACTTGTCTAAGAAGCAGAAATTACATGGACTCTCAGCACCTTCTCTACTGAAGGGGTCCATCTCATGATTCCATGGCACACTAGTTAGATCTGTACAAATACACTGCACTGTACATCTCCCTGTTGCATAGAACGACTTTTGCATAGAAGGACTGGATGATATGACTCATATGACCCTATCGTTTGGATACGGAGCTTAAGTGTCCATTTATCACTAGGAACTGACCATCCAAGTGCGTGTTCTTTTTGCCGAGGTCAAAGCAAGGATGTCAAGCCAGCTTTGAACACCAGCAACAGCGAGGGTGGCCTAGGCCGACGACGACTTCCCTTGGGCAAAGATTCGGCCGTGGGAAACTTCTTGAGTTTGTCGCTTGGATGAACTGAACGAAGAGGACAGCAGGGGATAGCTGACCACCATTGCTCTGTTCTGCGTAGATGGCAGGGGTGCCTAGTCGGACCTTTTATTGTATTGGAAATACAGGTGATGCTGGTATAGTGTACACTGCCTCTTGAGATGGTACGTAATATGCAAAGTCTGTTCACTCAAAAAAAAACAAAAAAACGACAACCGCAATTTTCAGGGCTGCCAGACGTAGAAGAGTCTCCGTTGGTATCACCCTCTTTGCTGAACTGGAATACCTTGTTGCTATCTCTGCCTTGCCCTCGGGACCTTTCTTTGTTGCGATCCTCAGTGGAACTTGCGCGGCTGCAGATATGCGGATTCCTCGCGTTCATCCTTTGTCCCCCTCGTTCTTTCCAGCCTGATGTCAGATGATAACATTATATAGTACCTAGCATGTGGCATGCTTGGCGACAGGTCCATGTCGCCTCATCAGCCACATAGTAGACTGTCTACGCCCGAGTTGCCTGAAACTTCACTTTTCAGGTTGGGGATCCCCCAGTACTCCGAGCAGCTCTTGGATCGCGGCCTGGAAAGCCTCGTGCTACTGAGCCGCTTGAACGATGAGGAGCTCATCATCAAGACGGAAGGAATTCCTTTCCTCCCAGGCCGAATCGCCCAGACTTTCTCGTGTGCCATTATCCATGCCCCATCCATTGAGATGCGCACCAGTTTCCAAGATTCCAGCATTTTTCAAGGGGATTTTGCGCCGACAGTCGCGACATCGGCACATCGGTGGCTGTTGGCCTGGAGAGGCCATCGAGCACGCTTGCTTCGCGGTGTTTTGGTGCTTCGAGAAGCTTCATTGTTGAGCGTTCAAGACAGCGTTTGGCACCCAAGCCGGAAGGACTGTACAGGTAAGAAGTGTTGTGTCTCTTTTATCAGGTTTCGCTGCTCTGGCATAGGGAAAAGGGTCTTGGCAATAAGGTCGTGCCGTTGATCAAGTTACTACAGAAAGTTGTTGAACACGTCTTGGAAAGATCCAATGCACTGGAGCTATGTTACATTTGATTAGGCCGTTATCTGAATTGTTTTGCATTTGGTTTTGGCAAATTCTGCTCTTTTGCCACGTTATGAAGCACCATGACGCACCCATCCCCAGCCAACCAATCCGTTAAGCGGCTAATCTGAAGCAACCCGTGTCTTCAAGGAGCTGCTTCACCAGTCAATGATCTCATGATCTCCCTGATACAAGGCTACTCTAAGTCTGCAAGTAGGAAGTTTCCATGTCCTTTCCATGAACGAGGAAGGCCTCCCCGGGCATCGCCGAAGTCGACGTCCAAGGCTTCCAAGGCTCGTGAGAAGGCGCTGCCGGGTGCCCTAGAGGCCTGCGGAGGCCGGAGGCCTGCAGAGGCCTGCGGAGGTGGGGGTGATTGATTTCTCAGCACTTGGGACGGATGGGCATTCAATTGAGAATGACAACCCCTGAAAGACTCATGCCATCTCGTATCTACAAGATACAAGAATTTCACGGGTGACCTGTAAATAAGGCCGTTACGCGGCCCGTCAGTACGGTCGTTTTCCGTCCGGGAGACCTCAAACCATGGAAGAAGTCAGATTCTTATGCCCAACCTTGTTTTGTTTGGAAAAGATGCAAAAATGACAGCGGCATGCCATGTCCATGTCATGCCACTCCCAGGTTATCGCGCTTGGCCACCCGCAACCAGGAGCGAGTGCATGGTCATGTTATGTAGCATGCTTTTGGACCCAGTTCAACAGTTCAACAAACATTGGCTCAAGGATCCAGTTGAACAGTGGACTTGTAAGTGGTTGAAGCATTGTGTTTTTTGAAGCATTGGACGGGTCCAGATTCTGTGACAATCCCACTTGCCACTGCTCGCTCTGCTTCACCGAGCTCTGCGCTTGCGCGACAGGAGCTGGCGGATCGCTGCCAGCACGTCGAGGCTTTGCTGCAGGATCTGCAGGTGCGAACCGCCCGTGCGCGGAGTGTGGAACATGGTGGAATGGTTGGAGGAAGGTCATCCCAGTAACACCTGTTGGGCCTTATTTTAATATATAATAGTTTAATTTTGATGTTTGTTTCATGCGGTTGTTTGGTTAAAACATGTTATAAAACATATTGAATGAGTTCGCAGTTGTTTCTTTGTTGAACAAAAAGCAGCAGACATTCGTGAATGAGATCCGCAAATGCAGATTCGGCCGAACATATCTGTCAGGTTGTGGGACATTTTGAGCCTCATCCAGATTGGACATCAAATCTGGGATCCGACAAGATCAAAGTTTCAAAGAGAATAGTACAGCATCATAACAGGTGTGGTCCAGTGGTGCAAAAACCTTATATAGTTTATCGAACAGAAAAGATAGAGGTGGGCGTTTTTCTAGAGTCGGTTCTGGTAGAACTTGTCCAGTACTACAAAAACGCCAAAAAGCAACATCCAAACCTCGAGAATCATGGCACCTACAGTAACTCACGGAACGTATACAATACTGGTGGCGGCCTCGTCACAGATTTTCCGGCCACTTCGGAATCTCTAGCTGCGCCCAAGCAGGGCCAGCTCAAGGATTCATTGGATGATCTCGGAATTGATCAGCAGGGAGACAGGTTTCCACTCCTTCTCAGCTCAATTGCGAGGCGGAGAAGGAGAGACGTGATGAGAAGCTGAGCTATGTCCAGGCTCGGGCAGAGGTCTTGGAGGTGCAAACCGCCACCCAGGCGAGGCTAGCCCGGGCAGGGCATGCATGAAAGATCTTGGCCCTTGGCAAAACGTCACTCATGTGTCGAGCTGAAAGAAGCAGCCGATTTATAGGTTGAGAAGCCAGCTAAGTTAACACATCGCTAGCCTTCCAAGACCACTAAAAACATGGTTGAAGTGTTTGGCAATATAGAAGAGATTCTTCCTGGGTGTGTTATTCTTTCTGCATCGGCTGAAGCAATTTTTGATTTGTGCAGCTTCAGCTCAAGCAGGTGTGTGGCGTGGCGACAGAACACCTGTCACTGCGATTTGTTTGATCATGTTTGAGTCAATAAGTACTTTCGTCGCCTACGTGGGTGAAGTTGTCGAGTCTTTGCAGGTGCCAAAGGAGCCCTTGCCGGCAGAAGAGTTCACCGTCGAGGGGACGACAAATATGCTAATATATTTGACATATGCATTGAGCGATGATCCAAATTTTCGGAATTTCTGGCCTCACACCGTGAGCGAGGCAGATGCCGTGATAGAACAACTCCGGATGATTGCCAAAGCTGTACAATTCGGTTCCAGAAAGAACAAGGACATTGTCCAGTGTTTCGTGGACCATCGGGGGCTTCACATGCTGGTGAAGTGCCTGC